TTCAAAAGTAGAGGAAGGGGTCTGATGTTTTAGTTTGGTATTTGCTTCTGCTATACGCCTGTACGTAGTTGCTGCATATGAAAGCTACTGTCAGAAAGAGCATCTCGTTTAAAAGCTGCATTGAAGCTAAACTAGCATGACGAAGATAGATGAGTTATGCTGATATTCTTTTTTTTTTTTTTTCTTTTTTGGTGGGCAATAAGTACACTCATTCACGAAAAGGATCGTACCACAAAAGAAATTGATGACATACTGGTGGAGTCAGAGATGATTTCAAGAGCCAATAATAAGACTAAAGATAAAAGAAATTATAAAAAAAAAAAAAAAGTAAGGATAGACACAAAAAGATGCTCAGAACATGTGGGGGCACTAAAATCAATAAGGATAAATACCAATGGTATTTCTTGTAGAATATCCTCAAATTATAGGGATTAGTTTTTGATTTTTTTTTTAAATATTACCGTAATAATTAAAGTTTCATACATTCATTTGAGGAAGAGTACCGACCGTACCGAAATTTATAATTTTTAAAGGTTAATTTATAATTTTTTTAAGGCTAATTTCCCCCAAATATGTCCATTATGTCTTCAAATAAAAAGTTATCTAGCATTTTTCTTCTCTTTCACAAGTATTCTCCTCCCTCTTTGCTCGTTTATATGTTTCACACACAAGTATTTCAGCCACTTAACCATCTTCATTGGTCATGGCTAAGGGTGTAACTTAGATAGGTTAACTCAAACATAACCCGAAAGAAAATAGGATTAAGTTAAAAATTTTAAAAGGTCTTTTAAAAATCGGTACCCCAAATTAAACTTATCAGGTAGATAAGTCCATAGTAGAAAGTATTTTGTAAAAAAATCATTTACTGATTTAAAAACTCTTGAATACCCTTTTAATATATAATAATTGCCTAAAATAGTTTTGAAACCAAAACTCATAGTAAATCCTCCCCATAAATGTCTGTGTCTCTCTTTCTCATCCCTTTCTTTTCTTTTATTTTATTTTCTTTTTTTAGGAATTTGTTTTAAAATTTTTGAAAACAATTTGACAACTAAAATTAAGAAATTTTAATTATTTTATCTTAGAAATATATGTCGTAAGTTTTGAAAACTTTTTAAAATTTGACAACTGAAATTAAGGAATTTTAATTATCTTATCTTAGAAAGTATTAAAATTAAAGAATTTTAATTTTATATTAGATTTAGTTTAGTCACGTATATATATATATATATTAATTATTTTCCTAATATTTCTGTATTTTTGACAGATAAAAATATTTTGAATGTTTTAACATGTAATATTAAAACTTTTGGTTACAATTATAAAGAAGACATATATATAATTGTATTTACTTATAGGGTCTATTATAAAATCATGAATACTTTATGTCCTGAAGCTAAATCTTTGAACCTTAAAGGTCAAACCACTTTAATTAAAATCAACACGATTAAAAATAAAATTAAAATCCCTAAAACCATTAAATGGTCATAAATGTTTAATATCTATAATACTAGTTTGTTTTATTGACACATTGTATTGCTACACTTTTAAGTTATGTAAAAATGACCTAATCGTACAATTCTTTAACCCTTATCCGAATTGGATTAAAATGGACGCCGATTTTTAGGTTAATAAAGCATTGAAACTTATTTCTTACTATATTGCAACACTGTTCTAATGTCCAACGTAATGTTCCTAGATCAAAACAAAATTTGGAAAAATATATATATATAAAAACGGTAATGTTAGCGCATAGGTGGACAACCAACAAAAATAAATAATGTCTCAAAACAACACCCTCCATGCGGTGCTCCTAGATCAAATACGAAAAACTGTATAAAAAAAAAAAACCTTAAAAATAACTACTAGTAGCATGTAGGGAAAAAAAATAAACAAAAACTGAATGCATGCATAAATTCAAACCTGATAATGTAATGAACGTTGGAGAATAAGAAGGATGTTATGTTTGAACTTTTTCCAAGTGATATTGACCGGTATTTTGGAGAAGAAGAAGAGATTTGTTTAATAACAAGGATAATGACAAAAAAAATTAAAATTCAAAATGGCTAAGACATACGCAATCAACGTTAGATATAAATTTTGTGATAACATAATTCTTCCATTATATTAGGAAATTTTTAATACAATAAAACAAAATCTTAGCCATTTTGAATAATACAAAATCTTTAATTTTGATTTTTATACGTCAAAAGAAATATGCATGATTTAAAGGACAAATATGTTAAAGGAAAATTACAAAAAATCAAGTTGTGTATTTGGGCACAAATAAGTTCTAAAAATAAGGATTTAATGATCTAACATCAAGAACTAATTAATTTTTGACCAATAACTCTAATTTCGTGTGCTTCTTATAATTTTTCTATTTTTTAAACTTGAATTGAAAAACTTCAAATCGAATTGAATTTGTGTCATACTCGAGTTGAGACTTCAGATTCACAAGATCGATTGAACTCAATTCGAATAAGTAAATTTGGGTTTTAGACCCCAAATTTTTAGAAGGCTCCATAATTTTAGGTACATCACTAGCTTACAAAAAAAAATTTAAATCCATTAAATTTTAAGCTTTTCAAAAAAAGTCTCAAAAAAATTAAATGCAATCAAAAATTTTATTGTAATAATTTGGGCCTATAATCCAATCTATAACATTAAAAATTTAAAAATAAAAAAATACTCAAAAGTTAACTCATATTTACTCCCTCTCTCTCTCTCTCTTAAAAAAAAATAAAAAATAAAAGTTGAAATTAAACACTTTCTCTGTGGTAAAAAAATAAAAACAAAAACAAAAATTAAAATCTCTTTCTCGACGATATTAACACATTCTTTTTTTAGTCTCGCTCTCTTACATAGAAAATTAAAAATAAATTAATTTTTTTAAAAAAATAATACTAAAAATAAAAAGACCCTCATTTATTGTTTTCGCTTTAGGCCAATAATTGACTTGAGCCGCCCTTGCCTGATTTGAAACAAATTAGTTAACTCAAATTGAACCTAAAATTAACTTGGACAATACTCAAATTAAATAAACTTTGATTGAAAGTCGGGCTCGACTTGAATTAGGATCAAAAGTTTTAAAACCTGAGTCTAAATTCATCCTTTACCCCCTTCCCCCCGTCACTCTCCACCATCAAAAATTAACAAACCCGCAATGACACAAAATAAGCACAAACAGACGAACCTACGTTTTGCAATTTGTAAGGGTAAATGTATGAAAATCACATAATTATTTCCTATCTTAGATATATATGTCTAGAAAATTACCAAAGAATATCTTTGGGTTTATAGTATTCTATAAGAAATATTAGTTAGTATAGTTCATACAAATAATAATCTCAGCGAGGCAGTTGAGTAATTTAACATATCAAACACAAGTACAACAGTGTAAAATCATTAAATGATGTTTCTCCGAGAAAAGAAGAGAAACTAGAAAGTCTGGCTCATGAGATGCCATGTACAGTAACCCAACCAACCACAAAAAGGTTGGGTTGGGAAGGATGATGTTGTTTCTTTTAAGTGAGGCATTAAAGAAAGAGAGAGGGAAAGCTAAGAAAACCACAAAAGCTGTAAGAGGTCCCTTTCAACATGGGGGAGTGGTGGCATTTGAAGGATCTATCCCTCCATACATAAAAAGGATCCCATCCAAACACTCATTGCGCTATAACTAAAACAATTCTAACTCTTAAGTATAAACTTTAAATAACCTTAAAACAACTCATTGAGAAACAAAGACATGTAGAGAGAGAGAGAGGTATGCCAAATTAGTTATGGCTCAATGGAAAAAGTTGTTGGTTTGGCACGTCAAAGGGCACTCCTGGAGCTATAACCTACGGTTCTGACTTTTATAATTTTATTTATGAAGTGAAAAAAATATTGGATAAATTTCGCAGACATTTCTTAAATTTAAGTCATATTTCGCTGACATTCTCTTTCATTTTTGAAATATCATTACACATTCGATAATTTATATATACGTTTCAGAAGCAACCCATATCATCTAGTATAGTTATTGACAAACAAAAAATGTGTGATGCGATGATTTACTCATTTGTGAGCTGTCAAATTTATCCTTAGTCATATAAAACAATTTTAAAGTAGTAGGAAATATCTTTTTAGTATTAATTGGATTAAGCATACTGTTTCTTATAAAAAAATGGATAAAAAATATTAATTTTAAAAAAGAATGTTAATTTGATAAAACTAAATATTAAATTTAAAAAATTGAATGATCATTCGGTACAAATTAGATGAAATTGAATGTTAATTTGAAATTCAATAAAAAAAAATTATGTCAATTTGATAAATTGGATGTTAAATTGATGAAATTAAATATTAATCTGATGAATTTGAATATTGATTTGGTGAGATTGAATATTAGTTTGTTGAAATAAAATGATAATTCTATAAAATTTAAGATCAATTTCACATTAATTTGGTAAATCTTGTATTGATTTGATGAAGTTTAATGTAATTATGATAAAATAGAATATTAATTTAGTGTTAATTTTATGAAATTCAATATTAATTTGGTATTAGTTTAATAAAATTGAATGCTAATTGGATGAATGTTAATGTTAATTTGATAAAATTTAATGTTAATTTGGTGCATGAAAATGAATATTAATTTGACATTAATTTGATAAAATTAAATATTAATTGAATAAAATTAAATATTAATCAAACAAAATTAAAGGTCACTTTGATTTTAATTTAATAAAATTATAAATTAATTTTATATTAATTTCATACAATTATGTTAATAATGGTAATATAAGAGTAAAATTGAATAATACTCTTGCAAAATGAGAGTTCTAGGATAATGTAGTAAAATTATGTATTATAGTTCTATTAGGTCTGTCAACAGACACAAACTGGCAGGGGTGTGCAATTATATTTCAGAAATTATAGGAAGTGTCAGTTAAATATAACTTAAATTTAGATGGTGTCAATGAAACTTATCCAAAAATATTTTATGAAGTTAAAAAATGAAAACAACCGACTGTATGGAGAGTTGAGAGTTGAGAGTTGAGAGTTGAGAGAAGGAGCCAACAATTCCAACTAGTTGAGGATGAAAGGAAAGAGTTTTTGGGTTGGTATTTGTGTTGTGTAGGCTGTACAAAAACAGCAGCAGCAGAGGGCAGTGATGAGATCACAAAGATCTTTAATCTCCCTTCTGACCAAACACTGCCACCCGTACCAGTGGCATCAAGGGCTTTTATAGGCCAAAGACAGTAGTTTTCCTCTTCTTTACACTCACTATATTTACTGTTCCACACCATCTTCAACCCC